GTCACTTTTTGTATTAGCTACCTGGCATGATGTGAGTATATGTTATATGTTTGATGTATCCATTATCTTCACTACTGTAATTGTGCTGGAAAATACTTGTTACTCTATGTGATGTTATGTTTTGTTATAGATAAGAGTCTAGAGTTGCTGAATTTATCAACTCCTGAGGAAGGGGATTGCTTTCCCCGAAACAGGGTACAAAAATACCCGGGCACCCCTGTAGAATGCCATTGGGACTTTTCTTTGAAGACTTATTTTGAGAAGCAGTGCTCCATTTTTCACTGGACTTGAGTTGGATCTTTTCCATGAAGATTGTTTTGAGAGTGACGCTTCATCTTCATTATTGTCTTCAGCTTACATATAGCCTCATGACTCTATACTTACTTTGTTTATATGACTTTTTGCATTGAATGTATCCCTGAAGCCTATACACAGTGGAATCCCTATCCAAACCCAGAACGGTTACGTTTGAGAGCGGTTGCTCCTTTTGATTTCTGTGTACCACTGAATTGAGCTTTGTACTGGGGATTTTGGTAAATAGAATATTATATGTTTTCTTGATAATACACTTTGACATTACGCATAGATTGTTTTGTGTTTGTACTGATATCTTACAAGTACTCTGGGATATTGTGTAGCTGTAAAGGATGGGGCATGAGGTTGTTAGGAATTGTGGGAGTTGAAGTCCAAACACATGGAGGGAGGGCTAAATTTGCCCATGCCTGGTTTAAAGCTACCGACAATGTGGTCACTACCTCTGAGGATGCTTGCCATAGATGCAGGCGAAACATCAGGAGAAAATGCCTCTAGAACATGGCCATATAGCCCAGAAACCCTACAACAACCCAATGTGGTCACTGTTGTCCATTTTTGGTCTAAAACGAATTAGCTGCTGTTGCCCCCTCTATTTTATCACTTTCACACTTGTTTATGTATTCAATGCTTCTTTTGACATGAAGTAAATAAATAAAATACACAGTGCCCATACAGACCAGGCCTGGACAAACTTGGACCCTCCCTTGAGGTGTTTTGGACTTCCACTCCCACCATTCCTAACAGCTTCTGGCCTCTTCCATTCGAGATATGGAGCTGTAAAGGAAGGGGTCTGAGGCTGTTGGGACTTGTGGGAGTTGGAGTCCAAATCAACAACAACGCTTTATTTATAATCCGCCCTATCTCCCCAGGGGGACTCAGGGCAGATCACAGGACACCTACATGACAAACATTCCATGCCGTTCGGCCAGACAAGGACAGAACAGACAGAAAGGAGGTAAGTTATGTTGACTTCCAGCTTTTCGGCGCCTTGGAGGTAGTGCTCATATCCAGCCACAGGGGGGTGCTGTTGCTCCATCCTCTATGTTAAAATTGTTCTTCATTTTAATTGTTGTGTTGTTTTTAAGTGTTTTTTGCACTACAAATAAGATATGTGCAGTGTGCATAGGAATTCATTCATGGAAAATAATAATCTGGCCCTCCAATAGTTTGAGGGACTGTGACCTGGCCCTCTGTTTAAAAAGTTCAAGGACCCCTGTTTTACGGTGTGGTATAATACCTCCCCCGGGTTTTAACCTGTTTTTGAACTGCTTAGGTCAACAGTGGGCTGGGCTGAGAGTCGGGGGCTCACACTGACCCGGGCTTCGAACTGGCAACTTTTCGGAGGGAAGGCCCAAATTTGCCCCTGCCTGCTTTAATCTCCTACCATTCTATGATAGAGCTTTCAAATTTTTTACCCTGAGATATGTAATGTTATACAGATGGGTATCCCGATGTGACCCCTGCTTGCCCCTCCCCCCCCCCATGCTGACCTCCTCGCGGCGCTTCTGCCACCGGCTCTCCCTCCCCATTTGGTGTCGTTTGACCTCACGTTAGCCGCCCGAGTCCCTGAGGGGAGGGGGTGGGGGGTTGTAAATAAAATTTAATAACAATAATAATAATAATATGGATCCGTATCCCGAAGCGACCAACCCCTGCTTGCCCCTTCCTCCCTACCTTTAGGGTTTTCACACTGCTTAGGTCAACAATGAGCTGGGCTGACAGTTGGAGGCTCACACTGACTCGGGCTTCGAACTGGCAACCTTTTGGAGGGAAGGCCCAAGTTTGCCCATGCCTGCTCTAATCTCTTCCCATTCAATGATTGAGCTTTCGAATCCGTATCCCCAAGCGACCAAACCCAGCTTGCCCCTTCCTCCCTCCCTTTAGCTGTTTTTGAACTGCTTAGGTCAACAGTGAGCTGGGCTGACAGTTGGAGGCTCACACCGATCCTGGGCTTCGAACTGGCAACCTATTTATCGTGTCATCAGCAACCATACCATAATAATAATAATACAGATGTGTTATCCCCAAGCGACCAACCCCTGCTTGCCCCTCCCTTCTTTCCTCCCTCCCTTTAGCTGTTTTCGAACTGCTTAGGTCAACAGTGAGCTGGGCTGACAGTGGGGAGCTCACGCCGACTCGGGCTTCGAACTGGCAACCTTTCAGAGGGAAGGCCCAAGTTTGCCCATGCCTGGTCTAATCTCTTACCATTCAATGATTGAGCTTCCGAATTTTTTACCCTGAGATTCATAATGCTATACAGATGGGTATCCCGAAGTGACCCCTGCTTGCCCCTCCTATAAATAAGATTTAATAATAATAATAATAATAATACAGATCCGTATTGTCCCTCCCTCCCGCTGTTTGCCCATGCCTGTTCTACTCTCTTCCCATTCTATGATTGAGCTTTTGAATCCGTATCCCCAAGCGACCAACCCCTGCTTGCCCCTTCCCCCCTCCCTTTAGCTGTTTTCGAACTGCTTAGGTCAACATTGAGTTGGGCTGACAGTCGGGGGGCTCACACCGATCCTGGGCTTCGAACTGGCAACCTATTTATCGTGTCATCAGCAACCATACCATAATAATAATGATACAGATCCGTATCCCCAAGCGACCAACCCCTGCTTGCCCCTTCTTTCCTCCCTCCCTTTAGGGTTTTCACACTGCTTAGGTCAACAATGAGCTGGGCTGACAGTCGGGGGCTCACGCCGACCTGGGCTTCGAACCTTTCAGAGGGAAGGCCCAAGTTTGCCCATGCCTGCTCTAATCGCTTCCCATTCTATAATAATAATAATAATAATAATAATAATAATACAGATCCGTATCCTCAAGCGGCCAACCCCTGCTTGCCCCTTCTTTTCCTCCCTCCCTTCAGGGTTTTCGCACTGCTTAGGTCAACAGTGAGCTGGGCTGACAGTTGGGGGCTCCCATCGACCCGGGCTTTGAACTGGCAACCTTTCGGAGGGAAGGCCCAAGTTTGCCCATGCCTGCTCTACTCTCTTCCCATTCTATGATTGAGCTTTTGAATCCGTATCCCCAAGCGACCAACCCCTGCTTGCCACTTCTTTCCTTCCTCCCTTTAGCTGTTTTTGAACTGCTTAGGTCAACAGTGAGCTGGGCTGACAGTCGGGGGATTCACACCGATCCTGGGCTTCGAACTGGCAACCTATTTATCGTGTCATCAGCAATAATAATAATAATAATAATACAGATCCGTATCCCCAAGCGACCAACCCCTGCTTGCCCCTTCTTTCCTTCCTCCCTTTAGCTGTTTTTGAACTACTTAGGTCAACAGTGAGCTGGGCTGACAGTCGGGGGGCTCACACCGACTCGGGCTTCGAACTGGCAACCTTTCGGAGGGAAGGCCCAAGTTTGCCCATGCCTGCTCTACTCTCTTCCCATTCTAGGATTGAGCTTTCGAATCCGTATCCCCAAGCAACCAACCCCTGCTTACCCCTTCCTCCCTCCCTTGAGGGTTTTTGCACTGCTTAGGTCAACTGTGAGCTGGGCTGACAGTCGGGGGGTTCACACCGATCCTGGGCTTTGAACTGGCAACCTATTTATTGTGTCATCAGCAACCATACCATAATAATAATAATAATAATAATAATAATAATAATAATAATAATAATACGGATCCGTATCCCCAAGCGACCAACCCCTTCTTTCATAGAATCATAGAATCAAAGAGTTGGAAGAGACCTCATGGGCCATCCAGTCCAACCCCCTTCTGCCAAGAAGCAGGAATATTGCATTCAAATCACCCCGACAGATGGCCATCCAGCCTCTGTTTAAAAGCTTCCAAAGAAGGAGCCTCCACCACACTCCCTCCGGGGCAGAGAGTTCCACTGCTGAACGGCTCTCACAGTCAGGAAGTTCTTCCTCATGTTCAGATGGAATCTCCTCTCTTGTAGTTTGAAGCCATTGTTCCATTGCGTCCTAGTCTCCAGGGAAGCAGTAAGGAAGCTTGCTCCCTCCTCCCTGTGGCTTCCTCTCACATATTTATACATGGCTCTCATCATATCTCCTCTCAGCCTTCTCTTCTTCAGGCTAAACATGCCCAGTTCCCTAAGCCGCTCCTCATAGGGCTTGTTCTCCAGACCCTTGATCATTTTAGTCGCCCTCCTCTGGACACATTCCAGCTTGTCAATATCTCTCTTGAATTGTGGTGCCCAGAATTGGACACAATATTCCAGATGTGGTCTAACCAAAGCAGAATAGAGCATGGGGAGCATTACTTCCTTAGATCTAGACACTAGGCTCCTCTTGATGCAGGCCAAAATCCCATTGGCTTTTTTTGCCGCCACATCACATTGTTGGCTCATGTTTAACTTGTTGTCCATGAGGACTCCAAGATCTTTTTCACACGTACTGCTCTCGAGCCAGTCATTGTCCCCCATTCTGTATCTTTGCATTTCATTTCCTCCCTCCCTTTAGGGTTTTTGCACTGCTTAGGTCAGCAATGAGCTGGGCTGACAGTTGGGAGGCTCACACCGACCCTGGGCTTCGAACTGGCAACCTATTTATCGTGTCATCAGCAACCATACCATAATAATAATAATAATAATAATAATAATAATAATAATAATAATACAGATCCGTATCCCCAAGCGCCCAACCCCTGCTTGCCCCTTCTTTCCCCCCTCCCTTAGGTCAAGAGTGATCCGGGCTGGCAGTGGGGGGCTGACCTCCTCTCGGCGCTTCTGCCACCGTCCGCAGGGCGACTCCTCCAGGATCTCGGACTCGTCCTCGCTCTCCTCCTCCTCCTCTTCTTCCTCCTCCTCCTCCTCGGGCTCCTCCTCGCCGGACTTGGCCTTGGCGGGCGCCGGGGGCGAGGAGGCCGAGGAGGCCGCAGGGGCAGGGGCGCAGGCCGGAGGGGCCTCGGCCTTGGGCTCCGCGCCGCCCGAGTTGGGGCCTCCTCCTGCTCCTCCTCCGCTACTATTCCCGCTTCCTCCTCCTCCTCCTCCGCCTCCTCCTCCTCTGGCCTCTCCGTCAGACATTACAGAGACTGAGACACAGAGACAGAGAGAACCCGGTGAGAAGAGAGAAAAGGAAGGAAGGATGAAGAGGGCGGCGGCGCGCTGTGACGTCATACCCCCGCGCCGCCTCGCCTCGCCACGCCCCCTCGCAGGAAGGGGAGGAGCCCCGCCGCCGCCGTTACCATAGCAACGTCGTGAGGCCTACCTTGGCAACCCCGCCCGCGCTGGAGTACTGACTGCCCCGACGGCTCCTCTCGCTCTCCTAGACGCGGGCTTCACTCCTCGCTCGCTCCCTCAACTCTTGCCGGTTCCCCAGCAGCGCCCGGAGCGCCAAGCGGCAGCCGCCTCCGCCTTCTCCTCAGGCACAGTCACACTAGAGAGGCGGTGGCACAGCCCGGCGCTCCTCCACCAATGAGCGCTCGGGATAGGCGCTTCCCGATCTCGGATTGGACACAGACTTGCCTGTCTTCAAGGGCGAGCCAATGAGAAAAAGAGGGCGGGACACTGAGGACCAAGCGGCAGCCGCCACCTCTTACTCCTCACGCGCAGCCAGACTGCAAGAGGAGGGACGGAGCAATGCTCGACCAATGAGCGCTTAGGATACGCGCTTCCCGATCTCGGATTGGACACAGACGTGCCTGTCTTCAAGGGCGAACCAATGAGAAAAAGGGGGCGGGACACTGAGGAACAAGCGGCAGCCGCCACCTTCTTCTCCTCACGCGCAGCCAGACTGCAGGAAGCGGGACTGAGCCATGCTCAACCAATGAGCGCTTAGGATACGCGCTATCCGCTCTCCGATTGGAGCCCGGCTTGCCTGTCTTTAGCGGAGAGCCAATGGGAAAAGGTGGGCGGGACACTGAGGGGAGTGACGACTATGGGCTCTTGAACTGAAGGAAGAGGGACGGAGCGATGTTCGACCAATGAGCGCTTAGGATACGCGCTGCTCGCTCTCCGATTGGAGCCCGGCTTGCCTGTCTTTAACGGAGAGCCAATGAGAAAAGGTGGGCGGGACACTGAGGGGAGTGACGACTACATGCGCTTAGACTGCAGGAGGAGGGACGGAGCGATGCTCAACCAATGAGCGCTAAGGATACGCGCTGCCCGTTATCGGATTGGAGACTGACAATGCTTGTCTTCAACGGCGAGCCAATGATCAAAAGGGGAGGGTTGACGCAGATGGAAGGCGGGACGGAGCGATGCTCAACCAATGAGCGCTTAAGATACGCGCTGCCCGCTCTCGGATTGGAGCCCGGCAATGCCTGTCTTCAACGGCGAGCCAATGAGCAAAAGGGGAGGGTTGACGCAGATGGAAGGCGGGACGGAACGATACTGGACCAATGAACACTCAGGATACGCGCTGCCCTCTCTCCGATTGGAGGCTGGCAATGCCTGTCTTCAACGCCGAGCCAATGAGAAAAAGGGGGCGGGACACTGAAGGGGATGACTAAGATGGGCCAAGTGACAGTCGTCGCCTCTTTCTCCTCACGCGCAGCCAGACTGCAGGAGGCGGGACGCATCGATGCTCGACCAATGAGCGCTCAGGATATGCGCTATTCGCTCTCGGATTGGAGCTCGGCTTGCCTGTCTTCAACGGCGAGCCAATGAGCAAAAGGGGAGGGTTGCCGCAGATGGAAGGCGGGACGGAGCCATATTCGACCAATGAGCGCTCAGGATACGCGCTTCCCGCTTTTGGATTGGATCCCTCCCCGCCTGTCCTCAACGACGAGCCAATGGAAAAAAGGAAGGGTGGGGATGACGCAGCTGAGCAGGAACGCGGCTGCGCAGTGAGCGACGGCGGGAGGTGTAGGCCAAAAGGGTCGGGCAAGGTCTTGGCGCGTGTCTGTGTCGTTTAGCTACCCCAGGATGGACAAGAATGGGAAAACCGGCCAAGATGGGGCCTAAATCAGGCCTGGGCCAGATTGGGCCTTCCCTCCCTCCCTCCAGGTGTTTTGGACTACAACTCCCACAATTCCTAACAGCCGGTAGGCTGTTAGGAATTGTGGGAGTTGTAGTCCAAAACACCTGGAGGGCCCAAGTTTGCCCATGCCTGTCATAAGGCAATGTTTCTCAACCTTCTAAATGCCACTGACCAGCAGCAGGGAGTTCCACAGTTCCTGGATGTCCAAATGGGTCAGCATCGCTGGGAATGTGGTCACAGCAGCAGCTTCGACTAGAGACATTTTTCCTGCCTTCCTTTCTTCCCCTTGCCCTAACATTGTAACAAATCCCCCCATAAAAAATCTTTTTTAATTGTAACTTTTTCCTCTGTGTAGTGATACATTGTGTCCTTTTACTGCCTCTAACATTCCCCAGTATGAGGGAAAGTTAATACTGGGGAATGTTAGAGGCAGTAAAAGCCTCTACTGGGTGAGACATATCCGTGGTTCCTTTGAACCGCGGATATGGAGACCCATTGGGTCCCCGTATCTGCGGGTCAACGGATTGCTTCCAAACCGGTGCCATTTTTCTCCTAAACTCCAAATTCCCGCTCGATATCAACAGTATCTTGCTTGATATCAACATGGAGAGGGAAAGTTTATACTGGGGAATGTTAGAGGCAGTAAAAGCCTCTACTGGGCGATTCATATCCGTGGTTCCTTTGAACCGCGGATATGGAGACCCATTGGGTCCCCGTATCTGTGGGTCAACGGATTGCTTCCAAACCGGTGCCATTTTTCTCCTAGACTCCAAATTCTTGCTCGATATCAACAGTATCTTGCTCAATATCAACATGGAGAGGGAAAGTTCATACTGGGGAATGTTAGAGGCAGTTAAAGCCTCTTCCTCAGCGAGCCACAGATCGCTGCCGGCTCAACCAGGATGCTCTTCAAGCATTCCGGGGAAGCCGAAACTGCATTCCTCTGAACCGCAGATACAGAGACCCATTGGGCCTCCGTATCCGCGGGTCAACGGATCGCTTGCAAACCAATGCCATTTTTCTCCTAGACTCCAAATTCTTGCTCGATATCAACAGTATCTTCCTCGATATCAACATGGAGAGGGAAAGTTCATACTGGGGAATGTTAGAGGCAGTTAAAGCCTCTTCCTCGGCGAGCCACAGATTGCTGCCGGCTCACCCAAGATGCTCTTCAAGCATTCCAGGGAAGCTGAAACTGCATTCCTCTGAACCGCACTTACAGAGACCCATTGGGCCTCCGTATCCGCGGGTCAACGGATCGCTTCCAACCGGTGCCATTTTTCTCCTAGACTCCAAATTCTTGCTTGATATCAACAGTATCTTGCTTGATATCAACATGGAGAGGGAAAATTCATACTGGGGAATGTTAGAGGCAGTAAAAGCCTCTACTGGGCGAGCCACAGATTGCTGCCGGCCGGCCCAGGATGCTCTTCCAGCATCCCAGGGAAGCCGAAACTGTGTTCCTCTGACCCGCGGATACGAAGACCCATTGGGTCCCGTATCTGCAGGTAAACGGATTGCTTCCAAACCAATGCCATTTTTCTCCTATACTCCAAATTCCCGCTCGATATCAACAGTATCTTGCTTGATATCAACATGGAGAGGGAAAGTTTATACTGGGGAATGTTAGAGGCAGTAAAAGCCTCTACTGGGCGAGACATATCCGTGGTTCCTTTGAACCGCGGATATGGAGACCCATTGGGTCCCTGTATCTGCAGGTAAACGGATTGCTTCCAAACCAATGCCATTTTTCTCCTATACTCCAAATTCTTGCTTGATATCAACATGGAGAGGGAAAGTTCATACTGGGGAATGTTAGAGGCAGTAAAAGCCTCTACTGGGTGAGCCACAGATCACTGCCGGCTCGCCCAGGATGTTCTTCAAGCATTCCGGGGAAGCCGAAACTGTGTTCCTCTGAACCGCGGATACGGAGACCCACTGGGCCGCTTCCAAACCACTGCCATTTTCCTCCTAGACTCCAAATTCTTGCTTGATATCAACAGTAGCTAATCAGAATTCCGGCTCCTGGCAAGCCCAGCCAACCAGCTGCCAACACATACTTTCCAGTCAACCCATTTATCTCATGGTGCCTTTTACAAATCCTCACAGAAGGGGCCTAAGGTTACCATATTACACAAATCTAATACACACTCTAATTTGGGCAAAGTTCTTTAGCCAAAATGGCTGAACAATAGATTTTAGTAAGTATGGTATAGTTTTTGTAGATTTAGGAGGCGTGGAAGGGTGGGCAATAACCTGGAAAGAGGGAACGCACACAATGGGTCTCTCGGAAGAGCAAGACAGGTTTTCATAATATTACCTGATTTTACCCTTGGACCCCCTTTCCATTGAGTCTGTATTGTATCCACCAACACCCTGAGCACCTTTTAAGGCACCCATTGCATTAACGAACTGAGATATCAAGACTCACTTCAGCCCATTTCCTCTCGCCCTACGGCATTCCTTTCCAATTGCGCTCCTCTCCTGAGAGGATCAATAAACAGATGCAAGCCTTCTAATTAATCTGAACAGTTTATTAAATGCTTTTTGTAAACTGTTTTTTTGCTTTTTGTAAACTGTTTTTATATGTTGTTCACCGCCGCGAGTCGCCCTAGGGCTGAGAGCGGCGGTCAATAAGTGCATCAAATAAATAAATGTATTGTCGAAGGCTTTCATGGACGGAATCACTGGGTTGTTCTAGGTTTTTCGGGCTGTATGGCCATGTTCCAGAAGCATTCTCTCCTGATGTTTTGCCTGCATCTGGGGCTAAAGGTATCCTTGGAGGTTGTGGAAACTAGGCAAATTGGGTTTATATATCTGAGGAAAGTCCGGGGTGGGAGAACCTTAACGGCCACCTGAACAGCATCCATAATCAAAACACCTGTGGCAGATGGTCATCCAGTCTCTTTTTAAAAACCTTCCACCGGACTCCAAGGCAGAGAGTTCCACTGCTGAACAACTCTTCTTACAGAGCAGACACCATTGCACTAATCAACTAGAAGTTCCCAGAAGACATCACAACTCTGTTCATCATTGCCTTTCAGTGGGACAATGAATTCTACGAACAGAAAGATGGAATAGCTATGGGGAGCCTTCTCAGCCCAGTCATAGCTAATTTCTACATGAACACTTTGAAAAACAAGCCCTGGAAACAGCAACAAAAAGCCCACGATATGGTTTGGATATGTGGATGACACTTTCACCATTTGGAGCCACGGAGAAGAAGAACTCAGCAGGTTCCTGGAACATCTGAACAGCATCCACCCAAACATCCAGTTCACCATGGAAAAAGAAAATGGAGGAAGACTGCCTTTTCTAGATGTCCTAGTCATCCGCAAACCAGATCAACAATTGGGTCACACCGTTTACAGAAAACCCACACAGAGAAATAGATATCTACATAAAAACTCCAACCATCACCCAAGTCAAAAAAGAAGCACCATTAAAGCCTTGGCAGACCGTGCAAAAAGAATCTGTGAAGCCC